AACCAAGCATCTTTGCGACACTAGTCCCAATCATTGCCCCCTGCACAGTAAATCAGGCGATCTCCCACCTTCCACTAGCCGAAACACTGCCCCAATAACATCCCCCCCCAATAACTCCCCAATAACCGAACCACTTAATCGAGATCTAGTCCAAAGGAAAACATAGCTGCTGACCCTGGAAACGAGCTGCAGCCCTCCTCTTTGCCCAGAAAATGAACGAATGGCTCATGATCCAAGCAACTAGACCTACGGAGACAAAATAAGAACATCTGCCGAGTGCAACCAAAAGAGAATCGACCAAACTCACATCCTTTACACCAGCATCCCCAGCAGCACATACTGCCCCAATCTGGAAGGAGTGCGTACCGAACTGGGACGGCCTCAAACCCAAACACCCAAGCCCCAAGCGAAAAACCCTGGCAAACTGGAAGCATGACAGCGACAAACCATCCTCATGAAAGGAAAATGCGCCTTCCCCTGTTGACCACAACGCCCAATACCGTTCAAGAATGGTAACCGGGCACAAATGTGAGCCTGGAAGAGCATGCAAAACCACATCCGTCCCCTTCCCCCACACATCCATTTTTGAGCTAGGTAAGTGAATCACCACCCTATCCACCCCCAGGCAGACATCTACCGCCAGAATACCGCCAAGACCTTGCCTGTTAACGCTCACGAGCTCCCCAATACGAAAAGCCCTGAAAAAGGCCAAAACAAATGCAGCGCCAAACTTCATAGCCGGAGAAGCAAATCTCAGGCAGCACACACACCAGGCTCCCCAAGACACTGATGGACACTGGTCGCCATGCATCTGGGATCCTACGCCCCTTCCGGAAACCCTTTAAAGCCTGATGGATCACGAAGTGCTTCGCCAGATCCCCCCACCCGCGCAGTTTAAACCAAAACACGAGCGTGGCCATATTCCTTTCCACTACTGCTGGAGAAGTATGACAACACTCTGACTCACTGGTAAAGTCCAGCCATGGTAACCCATGGAAACACTCTGAATCAATGGTAAGCTCCAAATTGCAAAGGAGAGCACTCTATGGTGTCTGCACCTGTGGTAGGCACAGACCAAAGGAGCACGTAAGGGCTCCAGATGCTGGGGCACTCTGGTATTTCCACCTGGCCCATTTTGGTTGGTTCCTAGTGTGCCATGAAAAGACGTGCCATGGCTTGCCAACTACTGATCTATCTATTTGTTTATCTAGCCATCAATCTGTCTATCTATTCATCTATCCATCTATCTATTCATAAATCTGTATATCTATCATTCTATCTATCCATCTTTTCACCTGTTAGCCTACCCAACTCTTTACCCATCTGGCTTTAGATCTATGGTGTTTTGTAGTTATTTATGGTCGCAGGATCTACTAAGAACTGTGCAGAATGGGGTTACATTAATGTACATTGTTGTGAAACGTTGTGAGGCCCACCCACGGCACATTACAGGACGTATAAGTGCACCTCGGAGATGGGGTCCTGCTCTTAATCACATGATCATTCACTATATATGATCAATTATCATTACACCATGCATTGCAGATAAAAGACTTAAAAACCATGTTATAACAAACCTATGAGATCCTTTAAAAGAAAATAATTTCTGGTCAGAGACCCTATTCCCAGAATCCTCTGAACGTACGCCTAGAAATCCCATAAGAGATAGCTGCTATTTATAGCTTAATTGACCTATAATAGTCTTAAACCTCATTTATTAAACTGGAGCTTTTGATTTATGACTTATCCTCTTCCATTTCAGAAGGATCTGCAAGTTGTTAAAGTCTCTGGGAAATGTAATATATTTAAATCAAGAAATAATTTGAAAGTTAGGGTTAAAGTTAGTTGGTGGATCCAGCTTCTGATACCCTTTCTAGCCATTTATAAAGAGATAGAGAAAATAACAGAGAAATACTATGTACTGTTTGCTATACAAATTAAAGCAACCTCAATTACATGGATTTTTTTCCTATAATTTTTTTTCCCACCTGGGTTTCTGATCAAAACAATAGATATATACAGACCTGTTTAGCGTGCGTTGAATAACCATTTAAATGTTTTACATCATTAAAACACAGTCTGGAAGACTTCCTTTCAGGAAAGTGTTAGAAGCTTCCTTGCATTTAGAAAAATAATTAACTCTATTAAGTACATTTTCCAGTAGAAGAAAAATATGCTTTTTATCTATAATAAAACCAAGTTGGAAAAAGCTGAGAACTGATAAGGTGAAATATTTTGTTTACCAAACTCCATAGGTTTAGTACACTGGCAGTGAAAGTCAGAACAGTCCTGTATTGAATAGGGCAAATACTGTACAGAATCCAGAATCCGGACATTGTTTACGCTGTTTAACAATATCCGGACGTTATTTAACAACGGATTTTCCAAAACATGCTTTGTGATTAGTCTGAATTTGATCAGAATTTTTTCCCGTTTAGTGCTGTCAGACGTCTGAAATCCATATTGTTAAAAGCCATGCCTGGATGCTTCAAATCCGGATCAGGATTTTTTAAATTTGAACTATTTTGTATAAAATAAAAAATAGATCTCTTCTTCTATGCTTGTCCCTGGTCATGTGAATAGTTATCTGTTTTGGCTCGTTTCAATTTTGTTGTCCTTTCCCCGACCCATCAGAAAAAGTGTGATTTTTTCTCTCTCTTTTCTTCTCTCACTCTTCTTTGGTCTCTTTACTTGACTCTATCTAAAATTCCTATGACATAGTCCATCCTTTTTCAAAACTAGTATAATTTATTAATTTCTTTTTCACATAAAATAATCATTTTATTTTTTTAAATGTTTGTTTAACCACTAGTTCTTAGGTGGCCTTAAACTGTTCAGATAAAATTATAAGGAGGCAGTAGAGGCCAAATATCTTGTAGGTGATACATGTTGCTCTTTATAAAGAAAGAGTTGAAACTGAAAAGATAACACTATGTTAATGATATTGAATGTTTACCTTATCTACAATATCTTGATCAAAATATTTGTTTCTCGCTCAGCTGCACAACAGTTATTAATAGAGCCAGTGCTTCTGATAGGCGAATAAGGTATTCCCAAAAGGCCTATTGGGAAAGATTTTGGTTTGTCGCACGGCATATACAGACATTTCCCGGTTTACGTACTCCCGTCTTTACGATCGCTCCACGGACCAGCCGCTATTTTGTGCCGGAGCTCCGTGGATGCAGACCGAGGAGCAGAGTTTGTGGCCAGGAGAATAGAAAGGTAAGTAACAATGATGGTGATCGGAAGGAGGGGAGTGCTGTGCTGAGCTGCTCCCCTCCTGCTACTGTTGTAGCGTAGTACTGTACCATGTTGAGCAGGTACAGGATGGGAGGGGGGAGAGACACCTGAAAGGAGGGGAGGGAGGAAATGCACATGGACAGGTACAGGAGAGGAGGGGGGAGAGACACATTGGCAGGTATAGGAAGGGGGAAATGACACATAGATAAGACCGGGAGTGGGGAATGGGACACATGGAGGGACTGGGAAAGGGGAATGAGACACATGGAGGGCTTTGGGGGGGAGGAGACACTTGGAGGGGGTAATGAGACACTGGGAGGGGGAAGGAGACACCTGGAGAGGCTGGGTGGGAGTAATGAGGCACTGTGAGGGGGAATGAGACACCTGGATGTGCTGGGAGGGGGGAATGATACACTGGGAGGGGGAATGAGAAAACTGGAGGGGCTGGAAGGAGGTAATGAGACACTGGGAGGGGATATGAGACACCTGGAGGGGCTGGGAAGGGGTATTTAGACACTGGTTGGGGGAATGAGAGATATGGAGGGGCTGGTGGGTGATTAAGACACATGGAGCGTCTCAAACGAACCAGTAACAAGTGCAGTGCTACATTCAACAAGTGCAACATGTCGTTGAGGAGTTAGATGACTGATGATGATTGTAAGAAGATTTTAATATGGTATGTCTTCCTTTAATGTTCCTACAAAATATATGTATTTGCTTCAATGGAATTTTTTATTGGTCAAGAACGGAACCCATGTTTATTACATTGCGATCTATGGGAAATTAGTTCTCACTTTATGAACTAGGCTTCATAACTGTAGTAGATTATTTTTTGCAAACCAATAAGTTTGAATGACTATCTGTTCCTGTCCAAATTAAAGATAATAAAGTTGCGTGCACGCAGAAGTAAATTCACACTGAGACACAGGGTTCAGGTTAATGAAAGAACTTTGGAAAAGTTTAATGGCTTCTAACAGAAAATGGGTGCGCAGACCCTTATAAAGGCATTTTTACATCACTGAAGAATTCAAGATAACAACAAATAAACATTATTAATTGGTTCAGGTGTTAAGTGGTTAGTTAGATGCCCTCCCATCAAGAGGTGGTGTCATCCTTGACACGGCAGTGGACACAAGCACGAGGTGTTCACTCGATGGGAGGGGTGCTTTGGCAGCCATTTTGAGTAGTTGGTATTGTTAGTTTACAGGTTCTTTTAGTAAATACACATTTTATTATTCAGCTGACACGTACTTTATTAAGACCAACATGTGGCTCAGTTGCTACAATATTTCAGTCAACAGAAACTCATTGTTCTGCTGACGCACATTTCTTCCTGCCAAAGTATTAGCTTAGATAATTTCAAGAATTCTATAATTCTACAACAGTCCCCCCTTAAAATGTTAGTTACTAAAAGATAAACTTTATTTGTTAATACCAGAAGACTTGTTAGCCCAAAGACACAGAAACCCTATGGTCGCTAGCTTGGTGTTATTGCAAAGTGCATGTCTACCTCTATCTGACCCTAACAGGCTGCTGCTCATCCGTCAGTACGGCCCTTGAACACTTCACTCCGTGGGTAACCCGCAGCGGCTAGTCCACCACATCTCCCACAACAGACTAACCCATACAGACGGACGCTGTCCCTGCGCTGGTTCCCTTCCTAGAACATCTGCACTTTATCAGTATAAGGGAGAGTTTGTAGCTGAATACAGGGTGAGGTGAGATCTTGATCATCGATTGTCAGATGAGTGAAAGTTGGTGTCGCTTGGTCTGTAGTCTTCTGTAAGAATTTTCTAAGGCATGGGAGGACACAACAAACGAGAAGAGCGAGAACAAAAAGGAAAATTAGTAGAGCCATACCAATATGGACTAAAGCTTTCTGCCAACCTGACATCCAACCAAACCACCTTTCCCAGGGATCTGTTACCCCAGAATTCCTCTTCAACTCTTCTGAGAGTTTCTCTAACTTCGCTATGGCCATAGTGACTTTACCATTTGGACCTGTGTTTTCTGGGATATAAGTGCAACAAGTCATGTTGTCAGGTAGTATTTTACATACACCCCCCTTTTCAGCTAGAATCCATTCCACATTCTGTTCTGGCAGGTCATCTGGTATGTGGCCTGCAACTGCTCGGCCAGGCCCTGGAGGGCATCCCTGGTGTAGTTGATGAAACGCTGTTGGTTGTAGTAAATGTAGTTAATCCAATTAAGGTTTTTGTTGGCAGTGACTATGGTAAAAAGTGATTCAAAACCTACAGCGACTTCATCTCTAGCTTTAAATTCATTAGGCACCCCCCTAGGTACCCCAACGGCATCTATGTAAATGTGGGGGTCAAAACTGCCTTTTACTGGGGTTTTGCGCTTCACTCTGGCTGGTGTATGTGGAGGGTCGTATGTGTCATGATGATTATCAGAAATAATATGAATGGGCATGATAACTTTGGCCAGGGTACACTCACCCCACCACTCAGTTTCCAGCCTAGATCTTAACTGTAGATCCCCACATAACCAGTAAATATCCCCCAATGACCTGGTATGGTGTTGCAACAGGCGTATAGGAACAGTTCTGTAGGTGGCACAATAGCCATTGGAAAAGTTACCCATGAATTTACCAATCCCGTCATAGTTAGCATAGCAAGTGTAATTACCCTTGTAAATCGTGATTCCATCTGGGGGTTTGACATTTCCAATTAAGAGGGGGTACTCTCAGTTCATGCTTCGCAGAGGGATCTGTTGAAATTATAGCGGTAGGCAAAAAGACTGAGGAAGCAATTCTCTATCTCCAAAGGGAGAGTTAGAGGAACGGTGCCAAGATGAGGTCGAGCACCACCGCACACATAGCATGCGGTTTTGTTATGTTTATTAGCATTATATTTCATCCACTCTAACCATAGATTGATATCATTGTAACCAGTTTCAGTGGCCATGGTGTCTTCAAAGGTGGGGTTAGCAATGGCCATCATGTCCTTAAAAGACTGGATATGTGGTTTCAGTGGATTCGGGACCATATGAACAGCCCCTTGCCACTCTGGAGAGTGGCACATATCTTTAAGATAGAAATGACCTAATTTGTTACAGGAACCACTTTTCCAATACATTCCCATTACATATTGGTCAGCATCCTTTGGACCAGGGTGCTCAATGTTTAACATTAATTTCATGGGCAGACCTCCTCCAGGCTTTCTTAAAGTCATTCTTTGAAGGAGGGATCTACCATGGTCATCTACTTTAGATAAGGCACTTTTGGGTTTGTAACCCCAGGCAGGCCCAGTATTCCATCCTGCAGCCCCCCAATTGTCACAGTTGTGTCCCCATTGCTTGTCAACTACACAAACATAGGGGTCCTTTGCGTGTGGTATATCTTTGTAAATGGTTTGAATCTGTGACTTGGGAAATGGGCAATCTACTATGTCACAGTAATCAAAGGTGAATGTAGCTACGCGGGTGCATGACAAATTATACCAGAATGTGTACCCACTAGCATCTTTGGTAATGGCCACTTGTTGGGCCTCAAGGAAACTAATCAAAGGGATGATGTACCAGAGGTACATAGTTGTGAGGAGTCTGCTTCCTCTGGGACAGGAACCTTTTTGCAATGGGAGGCGTGGATCCAGTTGCTTTTCCCAGCCAACTTGACGGAGGTGGAGGTGATCAGTAGAACTTGGAATGGTCCGTCAAATCTTGGTTCCAGGGTGTGTTTCCGCACAAATTTCTTGACTAGGACCCAATCACCAGGGAGCAGACTGTGGTTGCCCGTATCAGAATCAGGATCTGGAATTGAAGAGAAAACTTGGGCATGGATTTTGCTTAAAGCATTTGCAAGTTCAGTTACATAATCTACTAAAACATCAGTTTGAAGTTGTAGTTGTTGGGGAAAATAGCAACCTAGCCTAGGTGCAGTCCCAAATAGAATCTCATATGGGGACAGTGAGGGTTTTCCTCTGGGTGTGTGTCTGACACTGAATAGAGCTATTGACAAGCTTTCTGGCCAGGGCATCTTTGTTTCTTGTGACATTTTTAACATTCTAGCTTTTAGGGTACTATTCATACGTTCCACTTTGCCACTGCTTTGTGGGTGATAAGGCGTGTGGAAGGCAAGGGTCACTCCTAGGGCAGTCCAAATCTCTTTAGTTACTGATGCTGTGAAAGCTGGGCCCTGGTCGCTTTCAATAACTTCTGGGAGTCCAAATCTACATACAATTACTGTGAGTAGACGTTTTGCTGTTGTCTTGGCGGTAATGTTGACTACTGGATAGGCTTCTGGCCAGCCTGAGAACATGTCCACTATCACTAGTGCATATTCATGGTGACCACTCTTTGGCATCTGGATGTGGTCGATTTGAATCCTTTGAAATGGATACATGGGTTTAACCAGATGTTTTGGAGGAACTTTGATTGTTTTTCCTGGATTGCATTTAGCACAAATTACACAGGCCTTGCAGTAGTTACTGGTTAGTGTAGTAATTCCGGGTGCTTCGTAGTATTTTTGTACAAGAGCATTCATTAGATCCTTTGATAAATGTGCAGGTCCGTGTGCCCATTGTACGACTGCTGGGTACAAATTCTTAGGGAGGCAGAACTTGAGGTTGTTGGAGTACACTCCATCCTTCAGAACTGCCCCTTTCTGTTTCCATCTTTGTATTTCTTCAGGAGCAACTGCAGCCTGTTGTTCCCGTAGGATTTTTAGATCAGTTGGAAGTGTCTGCAAGGTAAATGTGGGAGTTTCTTCATTTCCGGACACACTTCTGTCCACTTCCTGTAGTTCTCTTGCAGCTTGTTTTGCAGCTTGATCAGCCAGATGGTTGCCCCTTGCTTCATCCGAATCCAACTTCCCATGTGCCTTTACCTTCAGAATGGCCACTTCTTCTGGGAGTAGGAAGGCATCCATCAGCTCCTTGATTGCAGAACTGTGCTTGACTGGTGTACCGGCAGTGGTAAGAAATCCTCTTGTTTTCCAAATTAATCCGAAGTCATGAGCCACGCCCAGTGCGTATCTTGAATCTGTGTAGATATTGGCGCGCTTTCCTTCAGATATCTTGCATGCTGAATTTAGGGCTTGTAATTCAGCTTCCTGCGCAGACATTGTTGATGGTAGAGATGATGACTTGATAATTTCATCTGTTGTGGTGACGGCATATCCTGTGTGATATTTTCCTTCTTCATCAGCATACCTTGAGCCGTCCACAAACAGGATGAGGTCAGGATCTATTAGTGGATCCTCATACACGGTTGGCAAATGTGTTGTTTCCATTTTCATCTGTTCAAAACAGTTATGGGGCGTTTCTGGATCATAGTCGTGCTTTATGACCAGATCTTCAAATTCTTCTTCCAGAAAGTACCGTGGCCATGCTTTTACATGTTCAGTTGTTGGGTACTTTTTCTTGGAGCTGTAGTTCATCCATGGTGGCCCATAGTTTTGCCATGGGCCCGAGATCACCCCATGACTTTATCTTTGATTTGGTAACAGGGACATGTGGAATGGCTGTGTCCCAATGGTGATATAGATGTTCAAGTCCAAGTGGTAGTTGAACCAAAATCATACTGTTGCCTTCAGTATCGCAGTAAAAATCTTGTAGAATGAGTTTTACCTCAACTAATTGATAAAGTTCATCTTCATAATGAGGGTCACGGTTGATGGTTGGCTTGTACCACATGGTGCAGAAGGCATATTCTGGCCCATCACAGAAGGGCATAGCCTTCATCCATGATAAATCCATAGTAGCTACCCCCCTCAGGGAGTGGCAGAAGAGTGGACGGATTCAGAACCTGACATCTTTGAAGGGTAACATTGTCAGGTAACAGGAGATGACATTGGAGACGAAGGTGCCTGGCAGGGGTGACATGTTTGAGTTGGACCTGGTTAAGTATGGCAGAAATATCATGAGGTGCCAAAACAGTCAGAGGGTGGCCAAGAACCAGGTCCCCAGTGCGGTTTATGAGTTCCTGAGCGGCAAAAACAGCTCGGAGGCAAGAGGGGGTTCCTCTAGCCACAATGTCTAGTTGGCAAGAGAAGAAGCCAAAAGGCCTTTGGCGGCCGCCAGGTCCATGGGCTTGAGTAAGGAGTCATCTGTCCTTATCTTTCAGACACAAATAATTTGAATGGTTTGGTGTAGTTTGGCAAGCCAAGGGCGGGAGTAGAGGCAATAGCACGTTGGAGAGTGTAGAAGTTGTCATGTGCTTCTGAGGACAGACAGAACGGGTCTGATTTAAGAGCATCGTACAAAGGTTGCATGAGTAGAGAGGCCTCTGGGATCCACGCTCGGCAGTAAGAAATGAGGCCTAGAAAGGCGTGGAGGGATTTTGGAGTTTTTGGAGGCGGAATGGCCAAAACCGCTCCGACACGATCATGGGTGAGGTGTCTAGTGTCATGGGACAGGCAATGGCCTAGAAAGATTACTGTGGCCTGGCAAAATTGAAGTTTGACAAGAGATGCCTTACACCCCTGATCTGCAAGATAACAAAGGAGGTCCAGAGAACATTTTTCTGTCGTGGGGATGTCATCTCCACAAAGGAGCAGGTCATCAACATATTGGAGCAGGACAACCTTGGGGTGGTCAGATTGCCATGGATCAAGGATGGAAGACATTGCCTTTGCAAACTGACTTGGTGAATTTTGTGCTCCCTGGGGCATAACAGTCCACGTGTATTGTTGTTTCTCGCGTGAAGGCAAACAGGTACTGACAGGTGGGGTCCAGAGGGACACTGAAAAAGGCATTGGCCAGATCAATAACTGTGAAGTATGTGGCAGAAGGTGGAACACCAGAGAGAAGGGTGTGTGGGTTAGGCACAATTGGGGTGTCCAAAACTGTGGCCTCATTGACAGCCCGAAGATCCTGGATCATCCTGTACTTGTCAGGTTCACCCTTAGGTGTCCTCTTCTTCACAGGGAACAATGGGGTGTTGCATGGTGATTCGCACTTGACAAGAGCACCTTTAGCCAGTAGTGCTTGTACTTGTTCCATGATGGCCACAGCTTGTGCTGGTTTCAGCGGATATTGAGACTTTCTCGGTAATTTTGCTCCTGGAATTAGCTTTACCATCACAGGTGGGACCTTTAGATGACCTATGTCCTCTGGGCCTGAAGACCACAGTTTCTTGGGGACACTTGTCATTAGAATTTCTGGAAAGTTGTCCCTCAGGGCCTTTGCATTCCCATGGGGTTTTTCTAGATGAAGCATCAAAGGCAGGGAACACAAGGCTGAGGTGTCTGATTCGGACAGGGGAGTAGATAGTTCCACCTGGCCGTCCGGTGTGAAGGTGATAGATGCCTGTAGGCGGGAAAAGACATCAGCACCTAATAGGTTAATAGGACATGTTGAAGACACCACAAATCGGGCAAGCAGATTGGGACAGTTGCCAACCCGCAAAGGAGTAGTTAAAGGACTATGTCTCGGGAGGCCATCTACACCTACACAGGAGACGTCAATATTGGAAAGGAATGAAGAATCAGGCAGGTCTTGTTCTCTCAGAACACTTCGGGCTGCACCTGTGTCAACAAGGAATATGGTAGGGTGACCTTCAATAGGTAAAGTTACAGTGGCTAGTGGCCCCCCTTGTTCCCCTGAAGATACTGCCATGACAGGGGTTAATGACACAGGCTTGCCAATTTCCTAATCTTCTTGGACTGAATCGGGCAAGGGAGGTTTTGGAGCCTTTGTTATTGGTGTGGGTTTAGGCACCTCCTGGTCTGTATATGATTTTCGGTATCTCCGGGGCTCGGGGCAATCACTCCTGAAATGGCCCTTTTCCCCACAATTAAAACAGATTCCATCAGTGGGCCTGGTGCCTCTTGGGACTGGGCGTGACACCATAATAGGAGTTGAATTGAACTTTCTAGGATTCTGTGCTGATTCTAGTCCTCTGGCAACTAAGAGTAACTTATCCAGGGGAACCATCCGATATTCAGGGCGAGCAGCAATAATACCCTTGCGTATAGAGTCTTTGATGCCTAGGACAAAGGCACCAGAAAGCATCTGGGAGTGAATTTTGTTGCTGAGATCAAATCCCAGGTCTGAGAATACTTGGAAAAGTCTAGCATGGAACCTCTCCACAGATTCACCTTTTTCCTGAACCACATCGTTGAGGCCAGCTGCTAAGTCTGCGAGCTTATCCTTAGCCCAGTACTTCAGCTGGGCACAGAATTCAATCCCCGATGCATAGTCAGTATCACTAGTGAGCCAGTTGTTGCAGAGGTGGCGGGCAATGCTAGGCCAATAAGCATCTCCAGCCTTTATGGCACAGATGCTTAACAAATCACGCCATGCGGCGGAATAGGTCTGTTGAATTTGAACTACCCCTCCATAGAAGGGCATGGGCTGTTTTTCGGGGTCAGGGAGTGATTTCATTAGAGCAGAGGCCTGAGTGGGATTGAAGGAGACATACATTACAGGGGCCTTCTCTCCCTGAATCCGGCGACCAAAAGGGTCATTGATAGAGCACCGGGGCAGGCCGGGCGATGTGTTTCTGGAGTCCGGTGGGATTTGATAACCATGAGAGCTGACTGAATCAAATTCATTCTGGGATGGTGACACTCGGACCCCTGTAGGATTTGTAGCTACCTGAGGTGTCAGGGCCGGGGGTAGAATGGGCACTCCACCTGCCGGAGCTAATGGTGTGGTATTCGCTGGTGGTAACAAATCATTTGGAAGGACTAGCATTAGAGGTGCCGCACCACTGGGGGCTGCCATATTGGAGGCGTGGAAGGAAGTGGCGTTGGGGTTAAGGGAGGAAGTGGCGTTGGGGTTAAGGGAGGAAGTGGCGTTGGGGTTAAGGGAGGAAGTGGCGGCCATGTTGGATATGGGCACAACTTGAGCAGGTTGAGGCAGGGTAGGCGTGATCGGGGACGGGGGTGTGGCTATGGAAGGTACGTAGGAAGTGGCGGAATAGGGCGGAGTTGCAGGATAAGGGTAGGGGAATGGCCAGGTCATTTGGGCAGGTGCTAGGGCGGAGCACGGGTAGGGCGGAGGAGATGGGTATGGATTAGGAAGGGAGGGAGGATATAAAGGATATAGGTATGGTGGTGGGGAAATGGAAGAATGAGTAGCAGGTGGAGTGGGAGGAGGAGAAGGTGGAGTAGGAGGGACGGGAGGGGTAGGAGGAGGAGAAGGTGGAGTAGGAAGGGCAGGAGATGAGGGAGGGAAAGAAGACGGAGCAGTGGGGGGGGACAGACGGAGGGGAGGGATTAGTAGGAGGAGTAGGAGAAGGTGGGCAGGTAGGGGAGGGGCGGAAGGGAGGAAGAGCAGACGGGAGAAACGGACTGGAGAGGGAGGGTGGTGTGAGAGAGGATGAGGGTGACGAGATCTGTAGGACTGATGGGGGGGAGAATAAGGATCCATCAGCATTCAGGACTGGGTAAACAGGGGCGGTGGTAGGGTGGGGACCAGGGGTGGGGACCATGGTCAGCTGCATTTCGGTCATTGCTGACGCGATGTTGGGAGTGGTCACCTCCTGGGCGCCATCATAGGGCGCTGGCTGGGAGAACTTCCCAGTAACACAATTATTATAATACACAAACAATCTTAAACCTTTATGATCAATTTCTTCCTCAACCCATCCCTCTTGCTGAATAGCTCTTGCTACTCGGTACCAGGCTTCTGCTGTACGAACCAAATCGTGGTCCGACAGCTTCCCTTTCTTCTCTGTCAGTAACTTACGCCAGCTCTCTGGCTGCAATCTGCCGCACGGAGGTACGGTAATTCCACATACTTTAGCAATCTTCCTCACTTTCTTAACCACCTCTTCTCCTTCTCTGTCTTCTACTAAATCACATGCTAACCAACCCTTACTGGGTTTATCTAACTTCTGTCCCATCCTCCCTATATAAGGCGTCCCAGATATAGAGAAAGAGAGAAAAAGAAGGTCTACAGTGCTCGACTGCTACGTAAGAGTGGGTTCCTACGTACGTCTTCCCAAAACGTAGACTAGTCACTAATTCCGCCTACCCGAGGTAGCCGCGGATTGGAGCGTGGCGAGAAGTGTGTGACCAATCACTTCTCTCAACAAAGAGAAATAAGAGGGGAAAGTGTAAATAACACAGAGAGTAAGATAGGATTAAGCACAGGAATCTGTGTGACAGACAATTAAGACAAAATAAAATACAGTGCATGCATCACAGTTCAAATAAAATCACAGTAATCCCTTTCCTTTACTCGTGTGGCCGCAGCTACCTCCCTCAACCTCGTAGTGTCCCTGTTGCGGACCCACCCGCAAGTCTCACTACCGCATGGTGATGGAAACAGCAATGCCTGCCCGAATCCAATCCCACCACAACCTAACAGTGTCCGTATCCGCGGGCACTGAGAGGTTAACAGAACACTACCAGCGTCAGCGCTCGAGGCTGAAGTGTCTCACCCTCTGCAAGCAGAGTAACGTGCACAATGAGGCTAGCCAGGCCCTCAAAGTGACACCCCAGACCTAAGAAAGTAGTGAGTCCACACAGACTTCCACCAGGTCCCCTCCCCTTTTTCCTTTACCGCTAGAGCCACCTAGCACCTAAAAGGGGTAAACAGGCACTCACACTCCCCGGGGACTAAGCTAAACACAAACCAATACAAACACTCCCAGGCAACAGATAGTCAACATGCAGGTAAACTAGGTATCATTAAGAATACAAAGACTCTGGGCAAGTTATTACCTGACTTTGATGTCCTCTCGGCAGCAGTCACAGACACTGGGACAGGTCAATCACAGGGGCAGGAACATACCGGCTAGGTGCTGCAGCAGTCTCCACCGTGTACTCAGAGGTGATCAGGCTCTTTTCCTTCCCCCAGGATTCATCCCCACAGCGTCTTCTTGGACGGCTGTCCGGGCAGGACATAACCCAGAGCCCCACGTTGAAGGCACCAAATTGTAGTAGATTATTTTCTGCAAACCAATAAGTTTGAATGACTATCTGTTCCTGTCCAAATTAAAGATAATAAAGTTGCGTGCACGCAGAAGTAAATTCACACTGAGACACAGGGTTCAGGTTAATGAAAGAACTTCGGAAAAGTTTAATGGCTTCTAACAGAAAATGGGTGCGCAGACCCTTATAAAGGCATTTTTACATCACTGAAGAATTCAAGATAACAACAAATAAACATTATTAATTGGTTCAGGTGTTAAGTGGTTAGTTAGATGCCCTCCCATCAAGAGGTGGTGTCATCCTTGACACGGGAGTGGACACAAGCACGAGGTGTTCACTCGATGGGAGGGGTGCTTTGGCAGCCATTTTGAGTAGTTGGTATTGTTAGTTTCAAGGTTCTTTTAGTAAATACACATTTTATTATTCAGCTGACACGTACTTTATTAAGACCAACATGTGGCTCAGTTGCTACAATATTTCATTCAACAGAAACTCATTGTTCTGCTGACGCACATTTCTTCCTGCCAAAGTATTAGCTTAGATAATTTCAAGAATTCTATAATTATACAACAATAACCAATTAGTTTGTAAAGTCGTGAACAACCTGTACCTATATACAGTACCTCACAAAAGTGAGTACACCCCTTACATTTTTGTAAATATTTTATTATTTCTTTTCATGTGACAACACTAAAGAAATGACACTCTGCTACAATGTAAAGTAGTAAGTGTACAGCCTGTATAACAGTGTAAATTTGCTGTCCCTTCAAAATAACTCAACACACAGCCATTAATGTCTAAACCGTTGGCAAAAAAAAGTGAGTACCCCCAATTAGCCATTTTTCCTCCCCGGTATCATGTGACTTGCTAGTGCTACATGTGTGAATGGGGAGCAGGAGTGTTAAATTTGGTGTTATCGCTCTCACACTCTCTCATACTGGTCACTGGAAGTTCAACATGGCACCTTATGGCAAAGAACTCTCTGAGAATGTGAAAAAAATAAATGTTGCTTTACAAAAACATGGCCTAGGCTATTAGAAGATTGCCAGGACCCTGCAAAAAGATGGCCTGGCTATAAGAAGATTGCCAGGACCCTGAAACTGAGCTGCAGCATGGTGGACAAGACCATATAGTGGTTTCACAGGACAGGTTCCACTTAGAACAGGCCTTGCCATTGTCAACCAAAGAAGTTGAGTGCACGTGTTCAGCGTCATATACAGAGGTTGTCTTTGGGACATAGACATATGAGTGCTGCCAGAATTGCTGCAGAGGTTGAAGGGATGGGGGGTCAGCCTGTCTGTGCTCAGACCATATGCCACACACTGCATTAATTGGTCAGCATGGAGTGCTGTGGGAGTTTCATGGTCTGGGCATGCATGAGTGCTGCCGCCATGGGGAGCTACAGTTCATTGAGGGAACCATGAATGCCATCATGTACTGTGACATATTGAAGCAGAGCATGATCCCCTCCCTTCGGAGACTTGGCTGCAGGGCAGTATTCCAACATGATAATGACCCCAAACACACCTCCAAGCCGACCACTGCCTTGCGAAAGAAGCTGAAGGTAAAGGTGATGGACTGGCCAAGCATCTCTCCAGACCTAAACCCTATTTAGCCTCTGTGGGGTATCCTCAAACGGAAGGTGGGGGTGCGCAAGGTTTCTAAGATCCTCCAGCTCCTTGATGTCGCCATGGAGGAGTGGAAGAGGACTCCACTGGCAACCTGTGAAGCTCTGGTGAACTCCATGCCCATGAGGGTTAAGGCAGTGCTGGAAAATAATGGTAGCCACACAAAATATTGACACTTTGGGCCTTAATTTGGACATTTCCACTTAGGGGTGTACTCACTTTTGTTGCCAACACTTTAGACATTAATGGCTGTGTATTGAGTTATTTTGAGGGGACAGAAAATTTACACTGTTATACAGGCTATACACTTACTACTTTACATTATAGCAGAGTGTAATTTCTTCAGTGTTGTCACATGAAAAGATAAAATATTTACAAAAATGTGAGGGGTGTGCTCACTTTTGTGAGATACTGTATATATATATATATATGTGTATATATATAGTTAATTAGAGAGAGAGAGTAACGCCTATAGGGTAAAGAAGAGACACAATGGTTGCATCAAAGAGAAAACGGGGGATAACCCCATAATTTTGTAATTTAACTAGAGAGAAAAATACTAAAGAAAAATAAAAAAACACAATCTACCAGCAAGTATAGGGGGGGTCTGCCTTGATGTTGGCAGGCGGGCATTCCCACCAATGGCCATTGGAGTAACTAAATGACCTCCATTTGTCTAAATAAACATAGGGATTAAGGAGAGAGTGCAGGTAACTCCTTTTTTTCTTTGGTTTTTACTATATATTGGGGCTGATGTGTACTGTGGTCGTTGCTGCCTTCCAGGAGTGATTGGAGTGACCGCAGGACTTATCTTTTTGTATTTACACCCCTTTAAAAAACCCTGCTCTGACACTAAAGCCACCCACTATTCTTTCAAGTGAGAAATTCAAGGTAACAAAATGTAAGTAAGGATTTGAACATACAGTCACAGGGTGCCTATACACGGAGTGGAAGTTCTGTTGTAATAATGATACCCCAATAGGATTCTCTCAAATGGATAGGCCAACTTGCCTTAGAAATCAAAGAGTTCAGCCTACCAAACCAATCATCAGGTGTATAGGGACCATCGAATTTCTGAGTGATCCATGAGATTGCTAATCCTCAGTTCCTGCATTGCCTCAATGCACCGAGTGGGGGTTTTACCGGTTCCCACTGGAGATGACCACAGATCTTTGAGAGTCGTTGCTTATCTTGTAAACACTACTTTTGAGGTTTCTACATAAAACGGCAGCTCTTTAACCTAAACTGCATCTGCTCATGTGGCAGCCATCTTGGGAGGACTCATTTACACAAGCCTGTGAAGGTTTATGAGACCCTTTTTGTGCACAGTTGAACCAGTGTGAACATATTATAAAGGCAACGTCTGAGAGAAAATAAATCATCTAAAAAATACTGTTTCTGTATAATTATATCCATTAACAACTTACTTTAGTGGAGCTTGGTACTTAGCCTGAGTATCTCCCTTATTTTCTTGTTACCTGGAGAGATTATAGATAGTTTATTGCTGCCCACTCAAAGAGCAGATCCGTATAACAAAAGACACTGATCATCACAGTGCCACTCTGTCTGGGCTGCTCAGAGTCAATCCTCTACTGAGTTGTCTCCAAACTGGGTGCCAATAGATCCGAGACCCAAAACTCCTTACCCAAAAAGGATAACCCTAAAACCAAGGTGGCCCCATACACCTCGTACTGCCAGCTAGCATGTTTAATTGCCACCAGGTTAAAAGTTTACCAGGCTGAGACTGATTTCTGATTTGGTGCGGGTCCAGACAATCAGCTCTGGTCCTTGGGTCTTCCTCCAGCTCGGCTTTCCATGAGTTAGCACCACTGGGTGTATAGGCCAGGTTCAGAGCACTTTGGTGGGGAAAAAAGTGGTCCTGTGTAAGAAAGAGGGGGGTCCCCCATGAGACGTGCTATTTCATTTAGAAATCACTGGTAAAGCTAGAAATAAATGATCATTTTTTTTGCACTTCATTTCTGCACATATCCTGGGGTTCAGTAAGAAGGCTCTCCTTATCAGTGTATAATTTCTTGAATGATATCACGATTGAAATTACGCATTATGCTTCCCACTGGCAAGGTATAGATCTGTGGCCTTATGAGCTCATCTGGGTTATTTATTACAATTAACACTAGTAGGATGTCAGTGTCTAATAAAACTTTTTATAAAAACCCTTTTGGCTATTACAAGCCTCACATCCACTCTTGTTACAATTCCTTATTAAATCTGTGTTTATACCTTACACCTCTATTAGTGGGCCAGCTTTATGACATGTTCCACGATAAAATCAAACACTTCTCAATAACAATAAAGCTTTCGTCCTGGAGATCGCCTAATTGCAACGTATCACGATCTAGGCTGAAAGAGATACAGCTGGAATTGAAATTCCTTTGTCCTATTTTTTATTTACATAAGAAAATAGAAGATGAGAATAGTTCAATGTAAAATTTGTAAATTCTATGGCTTTGCTGCAAATGCAGAAACCTGAATGGAATTTTTTTTTTTATTTAATATATTTTTAATTTGTCTTTCTGCATGTTTTAATGCATCATCTATATATTGCATTAATGATAATGGTAGATTCCTGAATATAATGTCCCTCTAAATGAAGTGTAAAATCTGAAGAACCGTGTTAAAAATATAAATTAAAAGTAATATTAATTGCACAGATCTACTATAACTGGAATATCCATTTAAAGCAGCACTGTCACGTCAAACTTACCTTTTCCCCAACTGCTTTCTCTTATCTTTCCTACTCTCTCTGTCTTTTTATTTTATTTTAATCTATTTCTAACTAAAAACATTAAGACAAAGTAAGGACTATACGTATTTTTCCTACACCTGACTTTCTTAAACACTGGGTGGAGCTACAGTGTCAATCCTGACAGCTGTTACCAGTGGCTGTTGCAGGGAAATGGCTCCTTAGACATTAATTGTGTACTCTTGCCCATATGCTAAAGTACAGCAGTGATGTCGTTTTTTTGGTGGACCCACCGGAGGAAGATGGCAGCGCCCGCAAGGGAAATATTCAGCAAGTAAAATTCACCTTTTCCTACCCCACAGCCACCAGCGGTGATGTCACCATCAGGGGGGTCTTTGCAAATTCTGATAAAGTTCCCAGATGATGAGAGTGCCGCTTTAAGAATTTGGGGGTGTTCAGTCAAAGTGTGCTGGTTTTGTGATTGTGGTTACAATTCAATTATTTGTCCATGCATGGCTTTATCAAAAGGTCACTCCTCTTTACTAGGCATTTAGATCTAATATTATAAACCTCTGACTCTAGTAAACATTGCAGGGGGTGCTCAAACAGTAAATCCTCAGATGTCTAGATGTTCCTCGGTGTTAAAAATGGAAAAGCATCATGAAACTTGCAGTTCTAAACATCTACCTTTTGGGCAACTTAATGATCACATATTTTTTCAATTTATATTCAAAGTTTGTAGAGTACTCATGTGAGTCCATCAATTTGTTTTTGTAGTTTCACAGCCTGTTGCTTTCCCATCAGCTGACTCTTGTGATTTGTGATGTGAAAAGGCATTTTCTATGGAATCTCATTGTTCTTACAGGAGAAGATCTCTAAAAAAAATTCCTCAGTTTCACAAGGCCTTCCATAAACTCAATTTTAAACTCTTGCACATATGCAGAATAGCACAAACAATGATGCACATTCTAGAATCTTCATCTGTCAGGTGAAAATAGCAGTGTTGAGGACTTAGGTAAGAGTATCTCAGACTCTATTTGTAAGCAGATTTCTCAACTGAGATGGTGTCTATTCGAAACTACAATGAGCCAAAAGACTGGCACTTTATGAAAAATAAAACTTCTGCTTTATATCCACTGGAATCCTTACACACACAAAGTAATAGGAAACATGAAAAGTAACTAATATTTGGTTAATATGTTAAATAAAGCAATTAAATAAACTAAAAATGTGTTCACCGAATGCATTTCTCTTGACAATTAACTTCCATGATCCATAATAAATTATGAGGAGATACATGAGGTTGGCTGTTAAAAGTGACAGTTATTTTATACAGGGCTTTTTAAATATGCTTAAAGCAGTGGAAAAGTTGCAATGACTTTGTAACTGAGAGAAAAAAAAAAAAGAAATTGTGAGGTGTAATTTTGTATAACAATGAATTGTTGCCAGTTGAAGTGACACATTGCAATTAGTGAGGCATTAGCCCCAGGATATTAGGAGGAAGATGGATGGAGATTAGTAATGGTTTGGGTTGAGACAGGTAGTCAGGAGAGTGTTCACATTTTATGATCATACAAATGATGTACTTGAAAAATGACCATAAAGAAAGATATTGGCTGTAAGCCTTCCAATAGTGAGTAAAGTGTAAAAACATATTAACCATGTAACTGCAGAAAAAACAAACAAACAAACAAAATATATACACCCTGTTCAAAATTATTAAGCAAATTATATTTTTCTCATTTACCTAAATCAGGGGTAGTCAACCTTTTTCTACCTACCGCCCACTAATGCATCTTTCTAGATTGAAAAATTTCCTTACCGCCCACCAGTTTTCGCGCAAGTGCAGAATATTTTTTAGAAAGGAGGGTGTTTTAAAAAATGTACATACATTTATATTTTTATTTCTACTTTATGCATGTTTATAATGGTTTTTAACATTATAAAGTTTAATGAGAAAACAATAAAGTAAATTGAAATTACCTTTACTGGTGATTAATGAGATCCTTGAGGTTGATGCTGCAAGACTAAATATTTGATATCTGGTTCGATTTTCGTAAGGAACAAACAAAGGTCTCCTCTTTCGGTGATATTCAGACGACTTCTCTGTTTGCTCATAATATGATTTCTCATCTGTGCATCTCCTTCCTCAACTCTCCCCCCTTTTGTTTCTTTCCTTCCTTTTTTCTATTTATTTACCTTCCTTATAGCAATGTCCAGCAGGAAGGCTGAGCTAAGTAGCCCACTTACTATTATTAGCCAACAACAATTCTCTCCTTTTCCTTTTTTTATTTTCCTTCTTTCTCTTCTTTTTACAAGTACTCTGCTCCTTCTTTCTTCTTTTTACAAGTACCCTGCTCCTTCTTTCTCCTATTCTACAAGTACTCTGATCCTTCTTTCTCCTTTTTCCAAGTACTCTGCTTCTTCTTTTTACAAATACTCTGCTCCTTCTTTCTCCTATTCTACAAGTACTCTGCTCCTTCTTTCTCCTATTTTTTCCAAGTACTCTGCTCCTTCTTTCCCCTTTTTGTACAAGTACTCTCCTCCTTTATTTTATCCCCTTTTTTCTTTTTCTTCTCTTTTTTTTAAATTGTTTTGATCTTTTCCTTTTTATCTCTTTTTTTGTTTATGCTTTTATTTTACCTTCCTTATGGCAATGTACAAAAGTAAGGCTGAGCTAGTTAGTCCACTTGTTATTATTAGCCAACAACAATTCTCTCCTTGTCCTGCCTATAACTTTTTCTTTCTCCTAACTTTTCTTTCTCCTATTTTACAACTGCTCTACTCCGCTTCTGCCTGTCCCTACTATCGTGCATCAGCTTCCACTCCTCCCCTTCCACTTCTCACGTGTTACACGTTTGTGAGCGCATGCACGCATTCGCTTGTTTGTGTGCATGCATTCTCTTGCATACGCACTTTCATGTGTGCACTCGCGCCCGTCCGCCCACTCCCACAAAAGGAGGATTAGCTAGCATTTTAGCTCGTTGTGCCGTCGAAACCCATATCGCCCACCTGGAATCCTGAAACGCCCACTAGTGGGCGCTAGTTACCAGGTTGACAACCCATGACCTAAATAATTGATGTAAAAACCAGTCAGCATAATTCTCATGTTATCAACTATTAAGAGTACAATTCAAATTTTATTGAACAAACCTCCTAATGATACAAGTATTTTTTTTAAACATAAAAAACTTACAATGCACTGTTCCAAATTATTACGCACGGTAAGTTTCAAAACACTTTATAGGTTGTAAAGAACTGAAAATTGTCATTTGTTGTTGAAGCGGAGAGCTAGTATTTCATAGCCTACCTCCACTTGTAGATCCCAGTGAGGATCAGGAACAAGCAATTATAAATCCATAGGCAAGGTATCCAGCAGGTAAAACAATCCAGTAGTATCCCAACAGCACTCCCAATAACTGGACGACACACAGTATCAGGAGCAGAACTAAAGATTTATTCAGACAGTGGCCTTATAAAGCATGCTCCCATGCAAGGGAAGGATTTACAGTCATTAGTACAGTAGCCAATCCTGTTCTGGTAACCTCCCACACATCTCCTCCCCTCAGCCTGCATCTTAATCCCCTTATCCAGGACACCAATTCCCCCCATTTCTGGATGTACCCCTAAATCTAGGGGTACCGCTTTAAATTATACATCCCTTGGTAGCCCTGATCTGGGTGAACAACATATCCAAAAATCACCCAGATCGGACCAGGGGTTCGGGAAATTTATGGAGGGAATAAAATGACCGACCGCGCTGGAAAGAATAGCCGAACTGGGTTCCATGCGATGGGGCCCTGCGGTCGGTCCTGGAACAAGGGAATAAATTACACGAAAGCCTCCAGTTACAGAGACTAGGGAGGGTTCGCCAGAATCCCCTCGTTTGGTTGTTTCTGTCTACCAAACGAGGGGCCGTTTGGTAGTTTGGAACTGAACGGACCGGGCTTGTGGAGGTCTCAGCGGTGTTCGCCTAGTCGAGTGTCCGATTTGAGTTCCAGACACTCGACGGCAAAACACCGCTGTTCGGGAGTTTTAAAATGGCCGCCGCCACGTGTTCCTTTCCCGAATGGCGGCCACCCCCAAGAACAAAGGACTACTGCACAGCTTGTCAATTACCCGTTCGCAACAATGTTGCAACGGGTAATTGAAGGCACACTTCACACCGGGGAGGTCTGACTGTTCGGTAGTTTAATTCCCTTATTTGTTAGAATGATTCTACCGAACAATCAGACGAATACAATACATTTACACACATATAACTTGTCAATTAGACGAATGCAGTTAAAACCAATGCAATTCCCAGGACAGCCCAGTGCCATCCGCTACAGTTGTGTTTGCAGAATATTTACTGAAACCAAAAGCTATTTCAATCAAACTTATAACAACATTTTAACTTTTTAAACATTTTAACAGGTCATGTTACATTTTAACATAGGACCCCTTATTTGATAGCAGTTTCACAATTCTTGCATCCATTGAACTTGTGAGTTTTGGGACAGTTTCTGCTTGAATTTGTTTGCAAGATGTCAGAATAGCCTCCCAGAGCTGCTTTTTGGATGTAAACTGCCTCCCACCCTCATAGATCTTTTGCTTGAGGATGCTCCAAAGGTTCTCAATAGGATTGAGGTCAGGGGAGGATGGAGGCCACACCATGACTTTCTCTCCTTTTATCCCTATAGCAGCTATTGATGCAGAGGTATTCTTTGCAGCATGAGATGGTGCATTGTCATGCATGAAGATGATTTTATTACTGACAGCCTAGTTCTTCCTTCTGTACCAGGGAAGAAAGTGGTCAGTCAGAAACTCCACATACTTTGCAGAGGTTATCTTTACACCTTCAGGGGACCCTAAAGGGGCCGACCAGCTCTCTTCCCATGATTCCGGCCCAAAACATGACTCCACCACTGCCTTGCTGACGTCGCAGCCTTGTTGGAACAGGGTGGCCGTCTACCAACCATCCACTACTCCATCCATCTGGACCATCCAGGGTTGCACGGCACTCATCAGTGAACAGGACTGTTTGAAAATTAGTCTTCATGTATTTTTCTTCTCAATGCAGCCATTTCTGCTTGTGAGCATTGGTTAGTGGTGGCCAAATAGAAGGTTTATGCACAGTTGCAAGACTCTGAAGGACTCTGCACCTTGATGTCCGTGGGACTCCAGAGGCACCAGCAGCTTCAAATATCTGTTTGCTGCTATGTAATGGTATTTTAACAGCTGCTCTCTTGATCCGATGCATGGATCTGGCAGAAATCTTCCTCAATGTGCCTTTATCTGCACGAACCCGTCTGTGCTCTGAATCAGCCACAAATCTCTTAATAGTGCAATGATCACGCTTAAGTTTTCGTGAAATATCTAATGTTTTCATACCTCGTCCGAGGCATTGAACTATTTCACTCTTTTTGGCAGAAGAGATCCCTTTTCTTCCCCATATTGCATGAAATTGGTGCTCTACTAAATAATGTGGAACACCTTCCTTTAGTAGTTTTTCCTTAAATTGGGCTCATCTGGCAATCTAATTATCACAGGTGTCCGAGATTGTTTTCAGTGATCAAAAGAGCCCTGAGACACAATGCCATCCATGAGTTAAACTGAAAAACAAAATATTTAATCTTTGTGACACTTAAATAGAATTTGCATAATAATTAGGAACAGGGTGTATATATATATATATATATATATATATATATATATATAGATTGTTCATGTGAGTTAGAGATCACAGACCTGCATTTGTAAAAATAATCTATAATTCTAAAGGTAGTAGGTAAATTGTAACTTTAAAAAATTATTACTAGAAATATATACAAAGTGCACATTTCTGAAATGGGTTCTTTGAATATCAAACTCTTAGCAGCAGAAAACCTGATGAGAGGTGCTAAAGAAAGTATCTGCTGTTTTTATAAGGACATGTTATATCCTTAGGGTTTTTTAAAACACTTGATAGGAAAGTGATCTGCAGTCTGTCTTCCAAAATGAGCTACGGGAAAAGCTATAAACATCAATTTGCAGGGTTCACATTGCACTAATCAGATTGAATTAGTTTAAGAAATAATAGTGTGTTGTTAGTGGTACCTAATCTCATCAGAACTCTCTCAAAGATACAAAGATCTTTTATTTTTGGGGGTGTGATATTGTCAGTACTATATAACATATTTTGGGGGACTGTCCAAATTTAAAACCATCTTTGGCAGGAATTTGTATACCACCACTCCAAGGTGGACATGGGACTTGCTTCAGTGGATGAAAGGGTTAAAAATCATTATTTGTCTGCACTAGACCTAAAATAAAGCTCAAAATATTTTGAGGGGTGTAATATTGTCAGTACTATATTAAATATCTGGGGGGACTGTCCATATTTAATATCATCTTTGGTGGAAATTTGTACACCACCTCCACATCGAGGTGGGCACGTGACTTTCTTCAGTGGGTGAAAGGGTTAAAAAGCACTATTTGTCTGCACTAGACCCTAAATAGTGCTCAAAATCCCTCTTTAACACCACCCACACTCATGCTAGTATCAAAGCTGCCACCAACAGGACAATTTAAAAATGGGGCATCTTAACCCCTTAACGACGTTTGACTGAACTTTTCCATCAAGGCAAGACCTACCCTTAAGAATGCTTGACGGAAAATTTTGTGGTGATTGTGGGGTTAACGCTGTTGCTGGGTGCATCAGCGTTCGAGGAAGACCAGCAACAGCCAAGAGCGCTGTCCCAGCACATGTGACAGCGATCACAGTGCTGCTGAGACTTCTGATCCGCCACCCTTCACCTCTGTGTGTGTGGTGAAGTGGAGAGAGATGGATCGTGTGCAAAGTTTTAGAAAGTTTGTAAAAAGTGAAAAAAGTATAACAAAAATTCTCAAAGTGTGTGTCAAAAAGGCAGAGAAAATGCTTACTACTACTAGACTTGGTAATAAGTAGCAAAAAAAAAATGATCTCACGCTAAGGTTCAAAACAGGCCTTTTGAAATACCCTGGAGTGTCTTCTTTAAAAATGGTAGGCTTTTGTGGGGGAAGTTTGAATAAGCAACCTACTATTAGACCCCAAAATGAGACATAAACCTATCACATCCGTCTCTCAAAATTCTACTCTAAAAACTGAAATGGTCAGGTCTCCTATATGGCACTGTAGCATCACAAAATAGTGCCAAAGGCATACATTGGGGGTATTGGTTTACTCAGAAGAGTTAGCTGAGCATAATTTGGGGTGTTTGATCATAGTGGAACATATCAAATATACATAATGTCTAGCACAAATGTAATGCTTAAGTAGAAAATGCGAACAATATTTTTTTACCACAAACTTTGACATATAATGGTGAAAAAATGGCAACATGTCAAAGCACAATATATGCCATATGAGATACCCTGGAGTGTCTACTTTCACGAATGGAAGGCCTTTGCGTGGTCATTTGAACAACTAAAATATTATAATGACCCAAAATAAGACATAGGTCCATCAAATCCATCTTTGACTTTTCTAACTGTAGAAACTGAAATAGTCTGGCCCCTTATATGTCATTGTAGCTTCCCAAAATAGTGGCAAAGGCATACAATGGGGTATTGTTGTACTCAACAGATGTAGCTGAACACAATATGGGATTTTGAACAGCACACAGCAGCTTTACAAAATACACATTAAAAAAACCTTGTTTTATGTGTGTATGTCAATTTTACTACAATATTTAGCAGATATTGGTGGTGAAATGGCTACAAAAAAAGAGTCAAAATACCCTTGGATAAATAGCCTGTGATGTCTGCTTTATATAAATATATACTTTTGTGTTGCAATTGTGTTTTCTGTGGTGGTTATTAAACTTACAAGTCAAACATACCAACTTATAAAATTGTTTCACATTAAATGTTATATTACTCCTTGTATTTTGTGACCTGTAGCTTTCAAAATAAGCTGAAATCCTATACATATTATGCACTTTGTAAATCAAGACACATAAATGAATTTATTTTGAATTACTTTACCTAGGCTGGACATATTATGCACACACAAAATTGCCAAAAAAGTGAAAAAAATAAAAATGTTACATTTATTTTAATATTTTTTTTAAATAATAAATTAGATTTTATATATGTATATGTCACATCAAATTAAAGCCCATTTTGTCCTTTAAAAAACAATATATAATATGTGTTGATGCAACAAATGAGAGAGATGCAAATTGCAGTTGAACACAAACAGCAAAAAAATGCAAAAAAAGCTTGTGTCCTTAAGGGTATGTCCAGCTTCTGAAGCTGTGTCCTTAAGGGGTAAAGTTACCCAACAAATCTGGGAATCACTGGATACATGTACAAAAGATTGCATTTTTCTCTCTGTCAATAAATAAAAAATGAAAAGAAAAAAAAACAACAAAAAAACTCCACAATTTGGCAAAAGTATATATGAAATCACAATATTATATTATAGTATATTATTATATAAGTATTTATTATTATATAAGTCTTATATAGCCTCCTTGCATATATATGCAAAATATGTTACAAACAAGGGGAGAGATGCTGGATTTCCAGTTTGATGAAGGGCAATTAATGCATTCCAAACCTGGCTGAAAATGTGCAATTCAACCAAGTCAGATCATCTCTGCAAGTCTGGAAAATTAATGTGAGACCATACATGATATATATTTCATACAAAATGGCACAAAAATAAAATTGCATCTAAAATCACTTCCAAAACTTGAAGAAAGTAACCCTTGATTGACTCACTATCCACACTGCCAGTGGTATGTTGTTCCTCAAGCTCTCTCTGATAATAATAATAAATTAAAAAAATAGAGCTTAATTTGCTATCCTTTTCCTGCAAGTCTAATGAAGGACTTATTTCTCAAGCTCAAACAGACAAATTAACCCTAACCATAATCAGTCATATCAACTCTATTTGAGTAACCATTCCATGCATCCAGTACCCAAAGTAACAATATTTTAACAATGGATATACGCCACATAGAATGGCAATATGACAATATTTTCACGATGAACAATAAATCATGCCCATTGGGTATGACAAAGACATTGTCATGGTAATTCTCCAGTGGTCCAATGCAAGAGACCTTCATCAAAGGAAATAAAACAGTGGCTTCTATTACTTGCAAACACTTGAAATTGATCCGTTCCAAACCTGAAATTGACTCGGGTGAACCTCATGTGGAGGCCTTTCCACTATAAAATCCTAAGACCCACTTGTAGAAATGGCTCTGTAACACACTTATACGCACATATTACTGTGAGATCTATTACACCAAGGTTCTATAATTCATTACACACATCAAACATGAGATCCATTGCTTTAGAGCTCTGTAATACACTTTACATACTACAAAGTACTATGAGATTCCTTGTACCAATGTTCTGGGGAACACTCAGACACATGACACAGTATTGAGATGTCCCTCAGTGAGAGACCTTTGAGAATGTCCCTGGGGATATGCTCTGAGGTGTCACTGGTATATACAATGATACCAGGGATACAGTGAGGGAAAAAAGTATTTGATCTCCTGCTGATTTTGAATGTTTGCCCACTGACAAGGAAACAGTCTATAATTTTAATTGTAGATGTATTTTAACAGTTAGAGACATAATAACTAATAATAAATAAGTATTTGACCCATTCAACTTGGTGGCAAAACCCTTGTTGGCAATCACAGAGGTCAGATGTTTTTTGTAGTTGGCCACCAGGTTTGCACATATCTCAGGAGGGATTTTGTCCCACTTCTCTTTGCAGATCCTCTCCAAGTCATTAAAGTTTTGAGGCTGACGTTTGGCAACTCGAACCTTCAGCTCCCTCCACAAATTTTCTATGGGATTAAGGTCTGGAGACTGGCAAGGCCACTCCAGAACCTTAATGTGCTTCTTCTTGAGCCACTCCTTTATTGCCTTGGCTTTGTGTTTTGGGTCATTGACATGCTGGAATACCCATCCACGACCCATTTTCAATGCCCTGTCTGAGGGAAGGAGGTTCTCACCCAAGATTTGACAGTACATGGCCCCCAAATCATAATGTTTCCACCTCCATGTTTGACGGTGGGAATGGTGTTCTTGGGGTTGTAGGCAGCATGCCTCCTCCTCCAAACACAGCAAGTTGAGTTGATGCCAAAGAGCTTGGTTTTGGTCTCATCTGACCACTACACTTTCATTCAGATCTCCTCTGAATCATTGAGATGTTCATTGGCAAACTTCAGACGGTCCTGTACATGTGCTTTCTTGAGCAGGGGGACCTTGCGGGCGTTGCAGGATTTTAGTCCTTCACGGAGTAGTGTGTTACCAATTGTTTTCTTGGTGACTATGGTCCCAGCTGTCTTGAGATAATTAACAAGATCCTCCCGTGTAGTTCTGGGCTGATCCTCATGATCATTGAAACTCCACGAGATGAGATCTCACATGGAGCACCAGGCTGTGGGAGAGTGACAGTTATTTTGTGTTTCTTCCACTTGTGAATAATCGCACCAATTGTTGTCACCTTCTCACCAAGCTGCTTGGTGATGGTCTTGTAGCCCATTCCAGTAAAGTGTATTATTAAATCCTTGTAAAAGCAAAGCGAGTATACAAAAAAAACACAGTTTATTTTTAACACTAGTACTATTTAATTTGTCCCCCACATTTTAGCTTAGGACCCACCAACATTGGGGTACTTTGAAAGCAGTGGTGGGCTTAACATCATATGGCCATATGGTGGAACTAAATCCCCATATTTAATTCTTAGATAGGCAATTTAGAAGCCTTCTTTGTGTTGTATTTTTTGTAGTCTGAGTGCGCAGCAACAATATTTTTCATGTATGAAGTTTGGTCACTGCAGCAGCACCTTTCATGCAAAATGCAGGGTCTTGGGTGTGCCCCCAATCCTTTCTCTGTATACAATGTTGTCCCTGACATCCTTGGACAGCTCTTTGGTCTTGGCCATGGTGGAGAGTTTGGAATCTGATTGATTGCTTCTGTGGATAGGTGTCTTTTATACAGGTAACAAGCTGAGATTAGGAGAAATTTTGCTGATTGATAGGGGATCAAATACCTATTTCCCCCATTGACATGCAAATCAATTTATAACTTTTTTGACATGTGTTTTTCTGGGTTTGTTTGTTTTGTTATTCTCACTGTTAAAATACACCTACCATTAAAATTATAGACTGATCATTTCTCTGTCAGTGGACAAACATTAAAAATCAGCAGTGGATCAAATACCTTTTTTCCTCACTGTACATATTAATCTGATAAATCTACTAAATCCTAGATAGTGATAAACACTGGGTTTTCACTACAGTGAAAATTTTGCCAAAGTATCCAAGTGTAGTTCTGGGCTGATTCCTCATTGTTCTCATGATCATTGAAACTCCACAAGGTGAGATCTTGCATAGAGCACCAGACCAAAAGAGACTGACAGTTATTTTATGTTTCTTCCATTTGCGAATAATCGCACTAACTGTTGTCACCTTCTCACCAAGCTGCTTGGCGATGGTCTGTAGCCCATTCCAGCCTTGTGTAAGTCTACAATTCTGTATCTGACATCCTTGGACAGCTCTTTGGTCTTGGCCATGGTGAAGAGTTTAGAATCTGATTGATTGCTTCTATGGACAGGTGTCTTTTATATAGGTAACGAGCTGAGATTAGGAGTACTGCTTTTAAGAGAGTGCTCCTAATCTCAGCTCATTACCTGTATAAAAGACACTTGGGAGCCAAAAATCTTGCTGATTGATAGGGGATCAAATACTTATTTCCCCCATTGACATGCAAATCAATTTATAACTTTTTTGACGTGTTTTTCTGGATTTTTTTTGTTTTGTTATTCTGTCTCTCACTGTTAAAATACACCTACCATTAAAATTATAGACAATCATTTCTTTCTCAGTGGACAAAGGTTCAAAATCAGCAGGGGATCACATACTTTTCCCCCTCACTGTACATTGTAAAATTCTTGTTATAAAGCCAGCCAATCACAATTCAAGAAATTGCTATCCAGAGCCAGCAATGCTTTTGGGAAGTTCTACAAATTTCGAGCCTCTTTTTATTGTTGTAAGTTCATACTTCACTTTTTAAACCTGGGTTTATTTATTTATTTTGATTGCAGTCTGGACATTTGTATAGCTGTGTCACTGCTTTTATGGTTTCTTTACATTTATTTCATAACGATATACAAAGAAGCAGGATTTTAACAGAATCTGTGAATTATAAACTATAGACACATAGCTTTGTATCCTGAAAGTATAGGAAATAATCCACACGAAACACACTTTAAAACATAAAGCATAGCACCATGTGAAGAAAATCTTCCTTGTGGCAATCCTCTTCAATTACAAGAAAATGCCTGTAGCTATGGGAAAAGTGTAGACTGCCAAATTCCAACAAAATAAAAAGCACTATTATAAGCGCTCGCAAGCATATAAAATAAAGCAGCATTCCGTCAGCACAAATCATTCTTCGAGTCTAAATATCCATTGACTGCTGTCTGCCAGGTCTCTGGAAAAGATCTCTGCGAATTGGTGAAATAGCACGAACAGACCAACATATTGTGTAGAAAAATATCGGTATGAGGAATGTTTACTGTAAAGCAGAAATATTGAGAGTAGAAAAAAACACAGTGTGTGTAGCGGAGCTCTAGTCTTAGCAGGGACTCACCTCCACTGGTTACTCCAAGATGCACTCAGGAACAAGTAAAATACTCCAAGGGAACAGCCAAATATAGCATAGTAATCCAAGAATCTCCCAACACCTCCCCAGCAACTGGACGACACTCAGCTCTGGGGGTATAACTCATTTTAAAGGAGCCACAGCTGGCCTTTTATGAGAATCCCCATGCAAGGGGTTTCCAAATACATATTCCAGGGGCATTTGACCTGAGAGTAGACTGAAGCAAAGTACACAATATAATTACATTACCTCTCAGGTCCAGGACATGTAAAATCTTTAACACCCAATAATATGCATTTCCTCATAAGTTACCCCCTCAAGTACTATATCCCCGGATAGCCTGGTCTGAGCCCACAAGATATCCGAAAAGCGCTCAGATCCCACAAACTTAGCTGAAACGCCACTGGGGTATAGTTTAGACCGACCGCACATGAAGCGCCTGCCCACAGGAGTTCTATGAAAAAAGGCTGTGCGGTCGGTCTCTTTCGGGAGTCCAAAATACATATAAAATAGCATAGCAACTGTTCGTGCATCCGTTTGCATGAATATCTGGTTCGGGAGGTTGCTCCCCCTGAATGCTGCTCTGGTCGTATGATTTTCCACGAAGGTAACAGAAGGTGGAAGTCCCAGCGGTGTGTGGCTGCTGTCTCTGTTCGTGTTCAAAGATGGGCACCACCACGTGTTTGCACATACGAACGGCGACCACCCAGTCGACCGCTTGGAATGTTCATGTAGTTGCGGTTTGTGGAGGTGTGAACAGAGTTATTGGTGTTAATGAGCTGCACACTCCACATTTGGGTGGCCTGCCATTCGGTAGTTTATTCGGTTGTCGACCAGAACCGTGGGAACATGGACTGCAAGTCCCAAACATAGGGGACAACGGGGAGGGGGAACATTGGCACAGACAGCCCGGAGCAGGTATAAGGGTACTGTTGCAAGGTCCATTCCGCTACACTGCTCCCCGTGACCACAAGCCGGCATACACAGTCTGATCCTCCATGAATCGGCTTGGGGATGTCCCGGGATGCTCATGGATCGTTTTTCAAGTTCGGTCTGTCTAGACAACGTATCAGCATTCCCATTCTGCTTCCCGGAGCGGTAATGGATCGTAAAGTCAAAAGGCTGTAGCGCCAGACTCCAGCGCAACAGCCTGGCGTTGTCTCCTGCCACAAGGTTCAGCCAGACTAATGGATGGTGATCCATGAGCAAAGATGAGGGCTATCTGTACAGATAGGGTTGCAACTTCTTCAGGGCCCACACCATGGCCAGGCACTCCTTCTCAATGGCAGCGTAGCTTACTTCTCTGGGTAACAACTTGTGACTGATGTAAGCCACGAGATATCTCCGCCATCAGGTCAGACTTGGCTCAGTACTGTCCCCATTCCAAACATAGAAGCGTCTGTATGAACGAGAAAGCATTTAGTTGGATTGGGAGCAGGCAATACAGGAGCGTTTACAAGAGCCTGTTTCAATTGTTGAAATGCCTGCTCACACTCCGGGGTCCAGACTACTTGATGGAGAAAGGTTGTTACGGGTCAGGTCGGTAAGGGGCATGGCCAGGGCACTATAATTGGGCACAAACTTCCTGTAGTACCCTGCTGTCCCCAGAAAAGCTAGCACCTGAGTCTTTGTCCTCTGGGTTGGCCACTGCCTCAATCTTAGCGGGCTCAGGCTTCTGCAGCCCGCACCCCACTCTGTGACCGAGGTACTGCACCTCAGCCATACCTATATTGCACTTGGCGGGCTTAAGTGTCAAGCCTGCTTCCTTAATCCTATCTAGGACCGCTCCTATATGGGCCAAATGCTCCTGCCAGGTATCGCTAAAGATGGCGATATCATCGAGACATGCGCAGGCATAATCTTGGAACCCATTTAGGAGCTGGTCCACCATCCTCTGGAAGGTGGCTGGAGCATTTTTCATCCTAAACAGCATTACCTTAAATTAGTATAAGCCGAATGGGGTGATAAACGCTGACTTAAGGATGGCTTCCGGGGTTAGGGGGATCTGCCAATACCCCTTACAAAGATCAGTTGTAGTGAGGTATTGGCCCCTAGCCATACGGGCTAACAGCTCGTCTATCCTAGGCGTCGCATAGGCATCTGACACTGTCTTGTCATTTAACCTCGGGTAATCTATGCATTTCGGTACGAGGACTACTGGGGAGGTCCAGGGGCTGTCAGAAGGCTCAATAACCTCCCGTTGGAGCAGCTCTTGGATCTCCTTGCGCATACTTTCCCGTACCGATTGTAGTCGCGCATCTTCTGATCACGCTCCAGTGAGGGAATTAAGAAGGAGTTTGGTGTAATGGGAGTTGACCTGGTATCTCTACCTGGTGAGTAGCCAAAGGAGTGTATCCAGGTACGTTGGAGAAGATGGACCTCTTCTCCTCTAATAGTTGTCGTACCTTGGTCCGCTCCTGTGGGCTCATCCGTTCTCCCAATTTGACCTTGTCGAAGTCCTCAGAGGCACGGTCACAGATCGCTGCCACCTTCACTGCTCGCTCATCATGGTAGGGTTTCAGCATGTTCACGTGGAGCATGCGTTGCCCGCCACTTCCTAAGCAAGGGCTGATCACATAAGTGGTGTCACACTTTTGTTCCACCACTTGGTATGGACCCTGCCAGGCGGCCTATAGCTTGTCATTCCGGACAGGTTTTAAAATGAAAACTTTCTGTCCTACCTGAAAGCTACTGTCCCTGGCACCTCGATTCTACCACGTGCGCTGGCGGTTCTGGGCTGCCTGGAGGTTCTCTCGACCTGACCTGGTTAACTCTTCCAGCACATATGGGACGATGGAGTTACCATCCTGGCAAACATCCCCCTCCCAGTTGGAACAACTTAGGGGAACAAAATTGAATGAACGGCTGTGCGAAACAGGGAAAAGCTTAGGTTTTCAATGAGAAGGGGATATACTTCACACATGAACTGCAAGTCCCAAACATAGGGGACAGCGAGGAGGGGGAACATTGGCACGGACAGCCCAGAGCAGACATAAGGATACTATAGCAAGGTCCATTCCGCTACAGTGTGCGACTGTTTTTACCATGCATTTGTGATCCCACTACCTGTTAATCCTGCTGCAAATGGAGATATTAAATGTCATCTAATAAAAGAAAATAGCATTTGATGGCATAAAAAAAAAAATTGCTATGGGCATTAAATCCCTTATCTCGAGTGTTCCTTAAAATAAATAAATAATACCATGTCGGTTACTAAGGGAGGAATTTATGTAAGAAAAGCAAGCAAAAATAAGAGCTATCGGTATAAATTCTCTGCAGTGTGAAGTTACCTGGACTATATTGCTTTTATTATATAATAGAGCAGTGGTTCACAGACTTTTTAGGTTCAAGCAGCCCTTAATATTTCAATATTTTTCCAAGGTGCCACACGTCAAAACAAATGTCTAGGTTGTATATCTGTACAGCGCTGCGGCAAATACTGGCGCTCTAGCGTTTTCAGACTTTCTGCCTGCTTACCCGACGGCCCGGCTCTCAGTGCCGTGATCCCCTCCAGCATTCCTACGGACGCTGCACGCTTGCAAGCAGCATGTTTATATATGCATCCAAATGACCTTCGTGACCTGGCGCATATCGATGAGGCCAGGGGTCAGTTTAGGAGGGTCATGTACCCCTCACGAATAGTGTTTAATTCTAAACGGAATTCAATCAATCACTGTTAGGTCTATATATACCTACCTCTCCCATTTCTTGTTGCCCTGCTTTGGTTTCTTGGTAGCCCAATAGCACGTTCTCCTTGTGACTTGTTGGGTACTTTGACTGGCTCTTGTGTATCATTTATCCTGACCTCTGTACTTCTTTGACCTCAGCTTGTTTCTTCATTATTCCACACCTCTGTAATCCTTTGACCTCAGCTTGATATACTGACTCTGTTAATTGCATGATTTTGCTATTACATGACGAAAAGTCATGATTTTATTAAAGACACGGAGGCAAGTATTGCATATCCCTTTCTTTACTGTCCACCAATAGCAGCAAAGGATATAAACAGAATGAAAAAACAATGAACATACAGTGACATGGGCACCTTCCTGCACAGGTCCCAGTATAATAGGCAGCACTTCCCTTCCATTTCCCTCTTTCTGAAGATGCGACACTATACACAGAGTCCAAAACAGGAACAGCAATATAGTCCTGAGATAAACAAAAACGCAGAAACTTCAACCCAAGAGGAGGATCATAACATCAATTAACATGGAAGCACAACTTGATGACTGCCGACCAAACTGTTTTCGCAGGGAGAGGTCTTCACATGCCGAAACCAGACATTCCACTGGAGCGGATTAGGCTGTGAAAACATAAAGAACAGGAGCCCAATGGTGAAATCGGTACTTGAGACTGACATCAAGGCCAGACAGAGAAAGGCCCAACCAACATCTGCAGAGAAATAACCAGATAGACCCAACTGACATAGTTACACAGTCAAATCCCTTCCAACACAGATCCCACTTACCGTACAAATCAAAGCGATACGTGTCACCTATATATTGAAATAAACTGGGGGGGGGAGGGGGAAACAAACAAGTCATAACCTGAGCAGTATAAAATAGGTGGGACAATACTTGCCTCCGTGTCTTTAATAAAATCGTGACTTTTCGTCATGTAATAGCAAAATCATGCAATTTTATGACAAGACACGGAGGCTCATATTGCAAGTTTAAAGCTGATCGACTACTGCTGCGAACGTATGAGGAACCGGACTGAAGTAGAATTCCCGAAAAACCGATTCCCTCGACCATTTGGCCATCTTCATGAGGTCCTCCAGGCGCGCGCCTATAGCCATCATTGAAGATGCCGAGGCCCCCCTGATCGAATGGGCGCCGAAAATCGCAGTGTCAATACCGGCTTGAGAAAGTAGCCATTTAACCCATCGAGACAAAGTGGTGCTAGTTACGGGTTGAAACGGCGGACGGGTAGATAAAATAGATGGGGGGAGGATGCGGAACGGTGTAGCTTGGTGCAATCCTCATATGCGCGTAGGCAAGCCAC